CATTACCCATTCAAGCCGTCTCCAGCCATTATTACTACATACTTTGTTAAGTTACTACATACTTTGTTAAGTTACTACATACTTTGTTAAGGTACTACATACTTGGTTAAGGTACTACATACTTTGTTGAGGTACTACATATTTTGTTAAGGTACTACATACTTGGTTAAGGTACTAGATACTTTGTTAAGGTACTACATACTTGGCTAAGGTACTACATATATTGTTAAGGCACTACATACTTGGCTAAGGTACTACATGTATTGTTAAGGCACTACATACTTGGCTAAGGTACTACATATATTGTTAAGGCGCTACATACTTGGCTAAGGTACTACATATATTGTTAAGGCACTACATACTTGGCTAAGGTACTACATATATTGTTAAGGCGCTACATACTTGGCTAAGGTACTACATATATTGTTAAGGTGCTACATACTTGGCTAAGGTACTACATATATTGTTAAGGTACTAGATACTTTATTAAAGTAAATGTACTTCAATATCTTCCATTTGTGGTACTTAATATTCATCACGACGCTGTACGTGTAATACTGAGACACTCTCCGAACCTTTACAAACAGCACTATATCCCGCAGTTCAATACAAAGATATTTCAAGTAATAAGTCCGTAAGTAATTTATTATTGAATTGAAACTTCATTATTAATTCTGCGCTTCTTAGTTGTTGTTGTTTTTTTTTCAGACAGTTTCCAAGTTTTGGGAGATAATCCCTCAACTGATATTCGAGTAATTGTACCGACAACAAAAAATCTAATGATTTAGAAACTTCTAGACAAGAATTGTAAAAAAAAACAAAACAGTATTTCAGAGCGAAATCGATAAATTTTTGTGTATTTTTTTTTAAATGTTTTACAAAAATTAAGATAGGTTCTAGAAGAAGATAAAACTACTGTACGTATTTTCTGCAAAGCAAATTTGAACTACAAAGTTATCTAGTGTTGTATATAGAACCTGGATAATAGTAGAGTTTATTTTTTTATCACCCGACCAAGTTCCTCGTGATTACGTTTGGAGAAACAAGCCACTGGCAAAAACTGATAACACTTTTAGTCGGAGTAAACAATGAAAAACAGCGTATCAACGAGAAAACGTCGGAAGAGAAGAAACCAGTCACCTCACACACACACACACTCAGCATTCGTTTTTGTTTTTTTAACCAGTGGTTGTGTAGGGTGAGTTTTAAGTAAAATGTCAGAAAGAATTTCTTTATTTCTGTACTTTACACTTACCCAACTATGTAGCTACGGGCCCGGCATGGCCAGGTAGTTAGGGCGCTCGACTCGCAATCTCAGAGTCGTGGGTTCGAATCCCCGTCCCACCAAACATGCTTGCCCTTTCCCAGCCGTGGGGGCGTTATAATGTGACGGTCAATCGCACTATTCGTTGTTAAAAGAGTAGCCCAAGAGTTGGTAGTGGGTGGTGATGACTAGGTGCCTTCCCTCTAGTTTATGCTGCTAAGTTAGGGACAGATAGCCCTCGTGTAGATTAATTTTTCTGAAACAAATTTCAGATGTGTTTTGCTCGTAACGCTCTCTTCAGTACCAGTCATGTAACTTAAAGTTTAATAACTTTGTCGTCGTGGTTTATTACTTAAACAATCTTTACGGTTATTGTACTTAGTTTAGATTTATGAAAACGTCTTTATATTATAAAACAAATGTATATTTTTTTAATTATATCTTAAAATATTATCTGATGTCTAATTGTCACATTATTTTGTAACTACAGATTTTAACCAAGATGGCCACTCAGATAACATATCATTCATGGTCAAAAGAATAAAAGTCTACACTATAGACGATCTAAGAGATCCTCATTATCGTTTTCCGGGAAACTACGGGGTCGAGAAATTTCTGGAACTTTTCTCTGAAGAGGACTACGATGCCTTCTGTCTGGCCTATATGTTTACATACAGAGATTTCGAGGGAGGAACCTTGGGCTTAGCCTGGACTGGGGACCTTAAGAACGCTGGAGGTGTCTGCGAGAAAAATGGGGTGAGTTTTCAGCTTTTTTTATAAAAAAAACTAAAATAACGTTCTCTAAAATTGGACAAAAATATCATTTACCATATCGTATAAAAAGTTGTGATGTAACGTATTGAAAGTTATCGTCCAGATAGAACAACAGATCTACCTTGTTGGTATAAACTGTTTATAAGTTAGTTAATATGTGTTGGTTTAAACTGTTTATAACTCAGTTAATATGTGTTGGTATAAACTGGTTATAAGTCAGTTAATATGTGTTGGTTTAAACTGTTTATAAGTTAGTTAAAATGTGTTGGTATAAACTGTTTATAACTCAGTTAATATGTGTTGGTATAAACTGGTTATAAGTTAATTAATATGTGTTGGTTTAAACTGTTTATAAGTTAGTTAATATGTGTTGGTTTAAACTGTTTATAACTCAGTTAATATGTGTTGGTTTAAACTGTTTATAAGTCAGTTAATATGTGTTGGTTATGATATTATTAAGATATGAAATATCTGAAGTGGCCTACTTTGATTTATGAAACTAAACATTATCAATATTCGAAATCTTCCACGTATATAAGATATTAATATTACAGCTTTCCGTGAATTATTTAGTGCTGGACCTGACGCCATCTGGTGATAATATTTTACTCCAACATTCTTCCCGTGTAAACGATGAAAATATTTTGTTATTTCATTTCATTATACGGGATGAACGACAACACTTACGTTCTTAGGTTATGTTTTGTAATAGCATTATCGTGGAAGCTTGAAAAGTCTTAATACCGGGATCGTTACTCTACTAAATTATGGAAAACACGTGCCTCCCGTCGTGTCCCACGTCACTTTAGCGCATGAAATAGGACATAACTTTGGATCTCCGGTAAGTTCAAGTTTTATAACCTTGGGTAAAACGTTTAATACGGTACAATCTTGTCTACGTGAGTTTAAATTGTCCTTATCATTGTTTCTGAATAAACTGTCAAAATTGATATCATTTGTTTATTTATTTTAAGCGCATAGTTTCATAATGGGTTATCTGTGCTGTGCCCACCGCTAAGCCCACGTGATCCAAGTTGGTTTAGATAATGTGGAACTTTAAATGTAAAAAAATTAAAATTAACTTAGCGTATTTCTACGATTGTTTTTGTCAATAAAAAACGTCCTTACACTCTATTAGCTGAAGCTATTGGTTAAGCTGTGTAAGTTTCAAGTTTAGAGGTTTCACTATTGGTTAGGCTGTGTAAGTTTCAAGTTTAGAGGTTTCACTATTGGTTAGGCTGTGTAAGTTTCGAGTTTAGAGGCTTCACTATTGGTTAGGCTGTATAAGTTTCGAGTCTAGAGGTTTCAGCTATTGGTCAAGCTGTGTAAGTTTCAAGTTTAGAGGTTTCACTATTGGTTAGGCTGTGTAAGTTTCAAGTTTAGAGGTTTCAGTTATTGGTTAGGCTGTGTAAGTTTCAAGTTTAGAGGCTTCACTATTGGTTAGGCTGTGTAAGTTTCAAGTTTAGAGGCTTCACTATTGGTTAGGCTGTGTGAGTTTCAAGTTTAGAAGCTTCAGCTATTAGTTAGACTGTGTAAGTTTATAGCTTATTTGAAATTAACAGATTAGTTATTGAACCTAAAAAAGAACCACTTATTTAAAATAAAAAGACAAGACATGGTTATTTTTCTATTAGCTAAAAGTAATTTATATATTTAATTCATTTTATGGTCCATGAAAAAAAACGAATCTACCAGTCTAATGTCCAAACTGTATAGTATCATTTGGCTACAATAGATAATCTACCAGTCTAATGTCAAAACTGTATAGTATCATTTGGCTACAATAGATAATCTACCAGTCTAATGTCCAAAACTGTATAGTATCATTTGGCTACAATAGATAATCTACCAGTCTAATGTCCAAACTGTATAGTATCATTTGGCTACAATAGATAATCTACCAGTCTAATGTCCAAACTGTATAGTATCATTTGGCTACAATAGATAATCTACCAGTCTAATGTCAAAACTGTATAGTATCATTTGGCTACAATAGATAATCTACCAGTCTAATGTCAAAACTGTATAGTATCATTTGGCTTACAATAGATAATCTACCAGTCTAATGTCAAAACTGTATAGTATCATTTGGCTTCAATAGATACACAATGTATCTTAAAACTTAAGAAGAGCATTGCTCTAATCATTGTTTGTTGTTGTTAATTACAGAGCTACACAATGAGCTATCTGTGTGATTTTCACCGATGGTATCGAAACCAGATTTTAGCGTTGTAAGACTTACTGTTGAGCCACCGGGAAAGGGAGGGGGCTGCTGTAATGTTATAATTATTTTAAAAACAATAGATATTATCAAGATATTTGCAAAGTTTCAATCGGCTTAGTCATATAGACGAAAATGTAATTGGTTCTGGAAGCTTGATAGTTTGGAAAAAACCCAGAGTCATTTGTAAATTAATAATAATAATAATTATAACAAAATCCCAAGTATGAATATCAAATAAGTTTTTATTTTCATTTAACAGCATGACCCGGAAAATAACGATCTTTGTACCCCTGGTGGGAACTATGGGAATTATATTATGTTCGCCAGAGCGACTGCTGGAGACAAAAAAAATAATAACAAATTTTCACCATGTAGCCTTACTAGCATGAATGCAGTGTTAAATACAAAAGCACGGTCTATGAGAGGCTGCTTTACAGGTCAGTCTTGTTATTTACATTATTTATGTAAAACTTGGCAACCATTTTGTCATTTCGTTTTTATAAGCTAATACAGCAGTTAATCATATAAAACTGTTATTGAATATTTTAATAAAGTATATTTAGAATTAATTTAAAAATTATTTTAAAATAAAATCACCATTGTTTTCGTAATTTTTCATTTTTTGTTTAAATATCTTTATAAACAAGGAATTAAAAGTTCTGTTTTTATCTAAAATCTTAAGCCACTCAGCATTTTTTATACGATGTTTGCTCTCAGTTACAGCTTGAACTTTTGAACTGGTTGTACTAACTTTGGAATAAAAATCACTTAAAGCGCCATCTATTGCTTAAAAGAACTTCAAAACAGAAAAAAAAACAAATGTTGAATAGTTTGATAAACATTAAAGAATAAATACTTGTTGTTTACTGCTTTTTAATTAAGAAAGTTATGTATTTAGTTGGTTTTTCATTATTTGTATGAACTCGTAATTAATTCACTCTTTCCCATTTATAATTTAAGCCTGATTATTTTAGATTTACTTACATTATATTTTCTCTAGAGCCCCAACACGCCATCTGTGGAAACGGCGTGGTGGAAAAAAATGAGGAGTGTGACTGTGGATGGGAAGAAGATTGTCAGGAACCCTGTTGTTTTCCCATGAGGATTAACCCACCACACGACCAACCCCCTTGTCGTCTTCGTCCTAACATAATGTGCAGGTAAGAAATAGTGCAACTTCAACTCAAAACTCTTAAAATATTTAAGATTAAACATCGTGACTTATTGAGCCTACGTATTTTTCTGCTAGCTGAGACTAAACGTGTCATGATAAAAATTCGTTAAAAGATACAAAAAGTGGGTTCACGGAAGGTTTCCGTACACATAAATGGTTTACATATTATTTTGTATATGCCGAATTTCTCTGAAAAAGTAGCTTATGTTCATTATGATTTCTTGGGAAATAAATCAAAACCGGTTTGTTATTCTTTCTCATAATTTATTTCAAATATGTTTTATTTGGAAAACAGTAAAAAGAAAAATACCCATAAATTCATTTATGCGGGGATAAGAGAATGATCATCGAAAATGAAATTCATGTCCCCCAATGGCTCAATGGTAACTCTGAGGATTTATAACGCTAAAATTCGGGTTTCAATACCCGTGGTGAGAAGAGCACAGATAGTGTAGCTTTGCGCTTAACAACAAGCAAACGAACAAATATAATTGCTATCGTGTCGCTGATGCCATCTGTCGAACGTCATCAAAAGTTCTGCAACGACGTGTTGAATGAAGTTTGGTTTTCATTTGTTTGATCATCTTACTATAATAGAGCAATGACGTGGCCATCTATGTATGTGACTGAAATAACAAATATAATGATGACATTCGTTGTGCTGAAATACAACAAGATCTCAATGCCAGAAGTGGTGATTTGAGGCATATGAAATGTTGCGCCATCTATTGAATGGCACCACAAACAAAAATCCATAAAAAATTTACACTTTGGGTGTTCAATATTCAGACAATTACAAAACTAACCATGGTACGTGCAAAAACTGAACACAATTTTAAATAAGAGTACTCTTTTCACAAGAAGAACACGACTTTCACTAGAACTGTACGTGAGGGTTTGATTATATCTTTATTGATGTAAGTTTTAAATGTAGTACTAAAATCTGGAGTTCTTAAAAAAAACTATTATTTTTCCCATAAAGGGCAACATTTTTAATATATAATAACATTACAGTTTATATTAGTAACATTTATGAAAATTTTGAGCTCTGTACGTTGAATCATTTTGACCAAAGAGCACATTCCGAAAACATTTTCCCGTATAGTACTTCACAGAAAAAAATATTCTTTAGAAAATGTTCACTTGTTTTACAATGTTTTACAATGGGTTATAAATACTACGATTACTGATTACTAGCACAGACAACCGCCCCCAGGGCGGCGTTGCTGCTAGTTAGGAAAAAAAACATTGTAAAAATAGCAAATTTATAAGTGATTATTTTTTGGGAATTTATGTAAATGATAGTTCTGAGAGACTGTAGAATGAAAATTGTGTTTGAACTATGAACCTTTCCATAACAAACTATAAAAAACAAATTGAAACAGTATTGGAACTTTTATATAATGATTTGTTTCAGTCTTTCAGCTCTATTACTCCAGTTTTTCAGTTATGCTGTGTTAATTCTGTAATTTAATTGTTCTAGTTTCTACTGTTAACATAGCCTTCTTATTGTACTACATCTGTTATTTAATTGTTTCAGTTTATACTGTTAACATAGCCTTGTTATACTACATTTGTTATTTAATTGTTCCAGTTTATACTGTTAACGTAGCCTTCTTATTGTACTTACTATCTGTTATTTAATTGTTCTAGTTTCTACTG